ATTAGGGGGGTTTGGTTTTCTTTTTCTTAGCTTTTTCATAGTAGGTTGGGTTTTCCGAGAGTGGGCAACTAACCCGACGCCTCAACCCATTGTTTATGGGTGAACTCGCGGCACATATTAGCTCACTATTTCATCGGGTGATGAAAATAGCTCCCCAGGTGGCACCGCGGGGAGGTCAGTGTCCACAATTGAGATGAAAGAGGGACCAAGATAAGCCTGGACTTCGCCATGTTAAAGCCAATCAGAGCCGCCGTAGCTTGGTATCTATCATACCCTACGCCATACCCTCCACGCCCTTCTGAGAATGTTTAAAAAAAATTAATCCACGCCTCCATCGATGCCTAAAAAATATTCCTTTAAAAAAATCAACTTTTGTGGTTGAAGAACTTAACTCAACATTGCTTTCAACCTTGAAGAGCTGTTATCATGTTTATTCATGCATGCCGAAGTACATACAATTTATAAAATATACAATTTCTTCCTGCTGCCAGATAGCCAGACTTGGGCTACGTAATAGCACTAATTGATAAGACGGGAACAAGTAGTTACTTTGTTGTTTTGCTTATCAAAAAATGGCTTTCAATGAGACATCCCAGTGAATCGGAAGAATTAAAAATAACTTTGTTGGTTCGCTTATAAGAAACATGACTTTATAACCGACATTTTGTAAGATTTGAAATTATTTTTTTTTGTATATTATGTGGTATGGGTGTTCAATATATCCTAAAATGCCCAAAAACACAAATATTCGGTTAAAAGAAACAGTTACTTATAAGCGAATTTTTGTGTAAAATTGCTTTTATAAGCCTAAACTACAATTAAAAATATTTTAAAAATTCACGCCTTCTGTGGATGTTTGAAAAAATATTTTTAAAAAATCCCAGTGAATTGGTAGATTTAAAAATACATTTTTTTGTTCGCTTATAAGAAACATGATTGTTATAACCGACATTTTGCAAGATTTGAAATTATTTTTGGTATATTATGTGTTATTGGTGTCCAATATATCTTAAAATGCTCAAAAACACAGATATTCGCTTATAAGAAACAGTTGCTTATAAGCGAATTTGTATGCAAAATCGCTTTTGTAGGCCTTAACTACTAAAATTAAATATATTTTTCGATTTTCAGGCAAAAATCATGAGTTTCTTATAACCGAATTTTCTTGAAATACGCACAATTTCTTATAAAAAAATATGACAAAAATCGACTAATCAGCAAATCGAATTAACAGAAAATGTAATTAAGATTATAAATAACAAAATTTCAAATTATACATCTCATAAATTTTGAATTATTCAAAACATTTAATTCAATTCGCTTATAAGAAACACGGGTTTTATAATCATAATTTTGTGCTGTTTGATTAAATTTTATTATTTTATGTGTTTTTGCCTTAAAAAATGGCGAAAATGCGTAAAAACATTTTTTCGGTTATAAGAAACAGTTGCTTATAAGCGGTTTTTTTTTTGCTAAAAACACTTCAAAATGCCTAAAACACCTAAATAAATACGATTTAATAATTTTCCGTCAAAAAAACTGTGAGTTTCTTATAACCGATTTTCTTCAATTACGCACTATTTCACATAAAAAAACCTACAAATTAGCCGTGCCTATTTATAGAAAATGCTAATAAGCTTACAATAAAAAAATCACAATTATAAAAGGGTGTTAACCAATTTACAAACAAATTATGTACTTCTATTTTTATTAGCAATTTAAACCCAATATTAAATTATGTCAATACCGGGTATGATGACCGTCCACATGTTCACGTTTATGTGGCATGTTCATCTCTGTGTTCCGTTTGGATTTTGGTGGTGGGTCTTTCATTTGCATAAACCTTTTTTTAGTTCGCGTCGCAGTTTGCCTAGCCGGCAAACTAAATTCGAAATATAAACAGAAACAAAAAGCCGGGCGATAAACAATAAATAAATAGCGCCATATAAACATGATGATGATGACGACGACAATGACATTCGTACAGACGGACGGTCTGAAATAAACCACTAAACATTTTTTTCTTAACGAAAAAAAACTACTGCGTAGTTTTTCTTCTCTCTGGCAAAGACGTAGCTGGCGGGGCAAAGGGCTGGGGTATTAAAAGTTTTTTTTTGTTTGCTGCTGCTTTTCTCCATAGCTGGCTGTGGTGTTTAAAATTGATATTTTTATGATTCCCCACACAAATGTGAACGACACGCTTCTTGTCGTTAACATACATACGTACGTATGTATGCATATTAGACGTGACCTTTTTAAATATTTATTTTTCAAACATCCACAGAAGAAGGCGTGGATTTAAAAAAAAAATAATTTTTCAAACATCCACCGATGAAGGCGTGGATTTTAAAAAACATATTTTTTCAAACATCCACCGATGAAGGCGTGGATTTTTAAAAACATATATTTTCAAACATCCACCGATGGAGGCGTGGATTTTTAAAAACATATTTTTTCAAACATCCACCGATGAAGGCGTAGATTTTTAAAAAATAATTTTTCAAACATCCACCGATGAAGGCGTGGATTTTTAAAAACATATTTTTTCAAACATCCACCGATGAAGGCGTGGATTTTTAAAAACATATTTTTTCAAACATCCACCGATGAAGGCGGTGGCGCCTCTTTCGGAGGCTTGGATTTTTAAAAAAATATTTTTTCGAAAGGGTGGAATTTTTAAAAAAAATATTTTTTCGAAGGGTGGATTTTTAAAAAATATGTTTTTCGGGGGCGTGGATTTTTAAAAAAATATTTTTTTCGAAAGGGTGGAATTTTTAAAAAAATATTTTTTCGAAGGGTGGGTTTTTAAAAAAATATGTTTTTCGGGGGCGTGGATTTTTAAAAAAATATTTATTCGGTGAGTTTCCAAAGGATTTTAATGTTTTTTTTGGAGGCGTTTTTTTTAAATATTTTTTCGGAGGTTTGAATTTAAAAAAATCGGAGGAGTGGATTTAAAAAAAAAAAACATTTTGGAACAAGTCTAGTTTATGACCCCCTCTAATCCACTAAGGCTATATGGGCATCATTTTAAAGCATTTGAAGCCCTGATTACAAAAATATAATATTCATATCAAATAAGTCCATACTTTCTGAGATATGGGTCTCCAAAATTCCGCGCGATTCTTCTGTGGTAAAAATTTCAAAACGATCCGTGAGGGGGCCCTAAACTAGACTTAAGCCAAAATATTTTTTCGGAGGCGTGATTTTTTTAAAAAATATATTTTTTTGGAGGCGTGGATTTTTAAAAAAATATTTATGCATGTCCGTCCGTCTGTCTGTCCATGTTAAATTGTAAACAAAGTACAGGTCGCATTTTTGATTCGAATGGGACGAAATTTGGCACAGCTCATTTATTTGGTCCAAGGACGAACCCTATTGAAATTGGGAAGAATCCGTTCAGATTTTGATATAGCTCTCATATATATTTTCGTCCGATTTTATAAAAATGGTGCACCAAAGTCCCCATATATCCTTTGATTTGCACGAAATTTGGCATAGCGTTCTGTGTGTGTGTGTGTTAAATTTCGTGAAAATCGGTTTAGATTTAGATATAGCTCCCATAAATATTTTCTTCCGATTTAAGGTAAATGCGGCACCAAAGTCCCTAAATATATTCCGATTTGTACGAAATTTTGCACGGTGTACCTAATTGAGTCTAGATTGACGTGTGTTAAGTTTCATGAAAATCGGTTTAGATTTAGATATAGCTCCGATTCGTCCGATTTTATGTAAATGGTGAACCAAAGTCCTTATATATCTTTCGATTTACACGAAATTTGGCATGGCGTACTGGATTTAGTCTAATAATATGTTAGTTAAATTTCGTAAAAATCGGTTCAGATTTAGATATACCTCTTATATACATTTTCGTCCGATTTTATGTAAATGATGCACCAAAGTCCCTATATATCCTTTGATTTACTCGAAATTTGGATTTATAAGTAAATGAAGTACTCAAAATGTGGCCGAATGCACAAAACATACTGAAATAAGTGTAACCTATCATGTGACAAGTTTCGATGAAATCGGTTTAGATTTCGATATTTTGCTTTAACTTTATTTACATAATACATATTTGTCCCATTGTAAGAAGCAACTCTATACCTGACCAAAATTTAGTACTAGTCCCATTGTTCCAAGAATAAACAAATGTTGTTTTTGTTTTAATAAATATTTTTTTATATTTTCATTTTGTTTTTTTTTTTGATTTTTTTCTAATTTTTTTCTTATAAAAAAATAGTTATACTTAAACCTATATCATGATACAGATAATGATGATATTTTTTTTTAATTTTGTATGTCAACTTTTTTAAAATGAAGGAAATTTAAAAAAAATAAAATTTTTACAACAAAATTTCACAAAAAAAATTAAAAGAAAAAATTTACAAAATTATGAAAAAAACTAAAAATTTGTTTTTCTTTAATACACAATGATATGAATAGTTCTTGTCCAGTCAATATGACTGAAATATATATAACAAAAAGAAATTATAAAATAAAAAATTTAGAGAAAAAAATTAAAAATTTTTACTAAAACTAAATGAGAGATGGTGTTGTTGATTTTAAAAACTATCAAAAAGGAGATATTTGTTTTCTTGTTATTTAAAAAATAATAATAAAGTAGTTAACTATTGTTAAGGAAATTTGTTTTTAGAAACTGCTACCATGTGTGTGTGTGGAACCCAAAAATCTTCGAATTTAGGCAGTAAGCTTTCTGTTGATTTTGGGACCTTGGAATTTTTTGCGAAGTTCAGTATCCACATTCAATGTTTAAGTAGTAGTCTAAAATAAGTTTTCTTTTTAGTTTTAGTTAAAGCTTCTGGGCTTAGTTGTTTTTGAAATGGATCCCTGGGTGAGGGAGGGGGTTTGAACCATTTTTTCTGTGATGTTCAGTTTTCCATTTTTTTTTTGTTTCCTCTTTTAATGGCAGGGATTCTGTTTTGCAGTTAGTTATGATGATTATGATGAGGAGATGTAGGGATGGATTTTTAATTGGTTTTTTACAATTCCAATTGGAATTGTTCTTGATCCTCGATTTTCAATGATTCGGTCTTCTTGACCAAATCTGTTGGTGGTGGTACACATTTACGGAATGGTGTACGTGGTGTACCCTTCAGCAGGCAGGTGGGTATATTGGCTGGTGGAGATTGACTCAAGGGCGATTGGCGTAGATTTTTCAAAAATGCACGTTCATAAATTAGGCGGGTACCTAGAAAAAAAGAGAAAGGAAAGGGAAAATTAATTATCAAATTTTCAAAAGGGGTGATTTTTTTTTAAATAAAGAAATAATTTTGTTTTTCTAAAAAAAATAATGTGAAAGGCCAGTGTTTTTATGATTTTTGTTGGGTGGAAAGCTTTCAATTTTTTTCTAAAACGTATTTTTTTATCTTTATTATTCTACTCGTTTCTAGTTTCACCAGGTAAAAAATTGCAGGCTAATCACTTTGATATTTGAAAAAAAAAAAATAATTTTGTTCTGATTAGATTTTTTTATGTTTGCCCCTATTCTTATCACTGCTTCAGTCATAGAGCCTCAAAATTTGGCTTATGATTCATCAAGGTTTATTGTGTTTCGGGTAGGTCCAAAATAAATGATAGGAAAGAAATTAAAAAAATATTTAAAATGTGATAAGTATTAAATTTATTTTTTTGGGTCGACTATAAAAATAAAATTATCTATTTCCGGTTTGGTCATAATTTATTTCGATATTATTATTATTATTTTCATTTCAATTATTTTTAACCTTTTCATATATTTTCAATATTTAATTTTTTGATAAAATTTCAAAACAAGCAAATTTTTCAAACCTTTTAAGTTTACAATTCAAAATATTTTTCTCAATTCAGAATATTTCGAATTTTTTGTGGCAATTTTTTCTCAAAAAACTATTTTAGAATATTTTTTATTTTTCAGATATATTATGTTTTAAATTCAAATATTTTCAATATTATATTTTGATCAATATTCTATCATAAAAAATTATTTTAATATTTTTTTAATATATTTTATTCATTAAAATTTTTTGAAAATATTTTTTTGTGTCAACATTTTTATATTTTTGAATTTTCACAGTATTTTCAATTATAATTTTCAAAATAATTTTTCGTTGGAAAAAAATTTTGGTGTCAATCTTTTTTATACTCTTCTTTAATTTCAAAATAATTTTTCGTTTCAAAAATCCTGAGTCTCTTTTTGAAGTCCACAATTTTTCAGCCCTTGCAATATTTCATTAAATCACCCACATTTATAAATATCACTTCTAATTTATCTTCAAATTTCCTTTCTCCAATATTTATTTTAATTTTTCTTTTCATCACAATTTTTTTTTCAATTTTCCACAATTTTCTAGATTTTTCTTTCAAACACTTGTTAATTTGGTTTTTATCATTTCCCCCAAAACATAAACACTGACCTCAGACACACATTTCATTCTCTTCAATTCTCCTCACACTCAGAGAATTTAAAAAAAAAACACTATTTTCTCCCAATTTAGGGGGGATACTTACCACCAGGTGTTGTCGAGTACAAGGTGCCGCCAGGTGTTGAGGAGTAAACCTCTGGCATTTGGATGGGATCCGAAATTTTAATGGTCCTGGTCTTTTGGGGGACGTGCATGGCTTGACGGGCAGTTGGTGATGCAGACATGGTGACTAGTTATAGATTCTGCTTCTTCTTAATTTAAATTAAAACACTTTGTTTTTTGGTAAATTCTTCACTTGGTGAACAACTTTGGTTGTTTTTCTAAATTAATCACTTGTTTTTAAACCTTTTCTTTAATAAATTTGTTTAAAATACTTGTTTTCTATTTTAATATTTCACTCTGTTGTATTCGTGACGAAAAATAAAGCAAAAAAACTCTTGCTTAACTTTGTTTTGCTTTTAGTTGAAAGGAGAATTTTGTTTTGCTTTGTTTGGGCACGACAACTAACTGCTTTGAAAGCTGTTGGTGAAATGTTGTTCTTTCGTTGGTCGGCTGCCTGTATTTATACGAATGGCGAACGTGCCAGAACACACCGGCGAAATGTAGCGAGAGTATATGTGTATGCATGGGTGTGTGTGTGTGTGTGGTTTACTCTCACAGATACTCACTGTCCAATAACAACGATAATCATAACAAATAAACAAAACAAAACACGCCGTATGACGAATAACAAGAACAACAATAGGGTGGCAGGCAGGCAGTCATCAAAGCAAAACAAGGCCAAACGTCGCCGCCATGTGTGTTGTACTTTCTTTTGTAATCTCCTCAATGTTGAGATAACATCTCGCGCGCTCTCTCGCTCTCCCTCATCTGTTGTGTGAGAATGGGGTTGTTGTGTATGGTAAATATGGTTTGTGGTTAATTTGGTGACTTTTTAAAAGTAGCAGAAATAAAAATATGCTAATTTGTGATTGGAAATTTTAGAAAAGTCTGGAATAAAAAAAAAAGAAATTTTTTGGGGAATTAAACTGGGCGTGCATTTTTTTAAATATTTTTTGAAGAGACACAAAGGTCTGTATTAAATAAAAATTGTTTTTATAAATGTGGATTTTAATGTATTTTTGAAGATATGTATTAAAAAATTTTTTGAGGGGACCAACTAGCGTCGATTTAAGAAAATCTTGAAAAATGTCATAAACAAAAATTTGTCAGAGGCATAGGCTTGGATTTAGTTTTAAAAATTTTTTATAGAGTTGCATAGACCTGAATTATTACAAATATTTTTTAAGACGACCATAATCGTGGAATTTTTATAAAAATATATTACTTGAGAATGCTCAAAATCGCAGAATGTCTTATAGGAGTGCATTTTTAAAATATTTTTTTGAAGATGCACAAAGGCCTGTATTGAAAAAGTTGTTTTATGAAGGGGATCGTGGATTAAAAACATACGATACCCCACACAACTACCACGAAAATCAACCTTTTGGTGATTTTTATTCCGAGCCTGGGCAATATTTCCTGATAGATAGATTAGAGGTCAACAGCACCGCTTCCTTACACTGATATATTTTGCGAATATTACTGAAATTTAGTACAGTTCTTCTAATTACTTGTCCTGATTCCCCTCGGATCTGATCTTCGGCTTATAATTGTGGCCTACAGATCGACTCGAAAAGAAAAACAAATAAAAATTAAGTTCTTGGTCCAACTCATCCCAATTTTATTATCTGATCATCATCGAAAATTATGGAACATTTCAAAGCGATCAGCGCTATATTTCCGCCCTCTAGTGTGGTATTGATTTACAGAGGGACGGACGGAGACACATGTCTAGATCGACTCAGCCGATGACGATCGGTATACTTAAAGGTGGGTCTAGGATCAATATTTCGCGGCGTTACAAACTCTTGGGGCTGCACAAAGCTATAATACCCTGACAACATTGTTGTGTATGGTATAAAAATTTACGCAAATTGAGCTCTTCAAAATTATCCTTATAAAAATTTACGCCTTTTGAGCCCCTCAACGTTATTCTTAAAAATCTACGCCTTTTAGTCTCTTAAAAATTATTGTTTTAATAAAAAATCCACGCCTTTTGGGCTCTTCAAAATTATTCTTTAAAATATGCACGCCTTTTGGACTCTTCAAAATTATGTTTTTAAAAAATTAACGCGTTTTGGGCTCTTCAAAATTATTCTTTAAAATATGCACGCCTTTTGGACTCTTCAAAATTATGTTTTTAAAAAATTAACGCGTTTTGGGCTCCTCAAAATATTTTTTTTAAACCAGGACTTTTAGCTCCTCAACAATTTTTTTTTTAAATCCACGCCTTTTGAGCCTTTTAGCTCCTCATCAATTTTTTTTTAAAATCCACGCCTTTTGAGCCTTTTAACTCCTCAACAATTTTTTTAAAATCCACGCCTTTTGAGCCTTTTAACTCCTCAAATTTTTTAATCCACGCCTCTTAGCTCTTCAAAAAATATATATATTTTATTAATTCTCTTAATTTTTTTTTAATTTAGGCCTTTTAGCTCTTCAAAATTATTTTTTAAAATATCCACGCCTATTTTGTTTATATTTTTTGAGCGTGGCCCTTATTAAAACCTTCAAAAATGTGGGGCTGTTTACAAAAACATTCCAAAAAAATTCATGCCTTTAGGTCTTTTTAAAAATATTTTTAGAAAAGGCGACTTTCTTCAATCTGAAAAAGTAAAAAAATCTAGTACGGCAACTCTGCTTGTATTATTCTCATAATATGGCTTCCTGAAAGAGTTGTTGTTATTATATGGTATGATGTTTATGTTTTGTTTTTGTCATACTTATGTTTAATTGGCTCTGCCACTGCGACTCTCTCTCTCTCACACTCTCTCCCCCTAGACACTGTTGTTGTTTATTTATTGCGAAGAAAACAACAGAACAAAACAAAACAAACGCTGGCGTTGGCTGTGCTTAACGGCCAACGTGTTGTACTCAATACATATTCAAAAAAATCTATTGCGCACTCTTTATTTCAGCCAAAACAAAATAAAATTCTTGAAAAAACTTGAAAAAAAGAACAACAAAACTAAAAAATAACAACAAACTTAATTTGTTTGTCGATTTGTTAAAACAGCTTGAATGTTAACGGCGTTTTAGAAAAATAGGCACAGTCATTAGAAAATAATTTCGTTAATTTTTTTCTGTCTGAAGAAAATAAAACATTAAACGTTTCTACAATTGTGCTACAAAGTGCAGACTAGAAAGATCGTTATAATTCGAATAAAATTGATTAAAAGAGGATAAATTGCAAATTTCTAATGAAATAAAAAAAAATTAATAATGTGTGTCGTTTGGAAATAATTTGTTTTGTTATCAAAGTGTTGTTGCTGTTGTTTACCGGCATTTTGTTCGGGTGATTTCTTTTTCGCTTCAATCATTCAAAAATGTCTTTGTCCTGGATTTAGACGTTTTTGTTTGACCACAAGGCCAATTGTTTATTTTTATTTATTTGTTTACCCAAAATAGAACAACGTGGTTTTGTATTTTTTTTTTCTACGTGAAAAATTAAATTATAAGGATTTTGTATGAAAAGTTTGTAACACAACCATAGGAATAAAACCGTTCAGTGTGAATTTAAAAAATATTATTTTGAAGAGCCTTAAATGCGTGAATTAAAAAAATCTTATTCAAGAGCCTTCTAGTTGAGCCTTGAAGAGTGATATAGGCTTGAATTTTTTAAAACATATTTTTTTAAGAATTCCATAGTCGTGGATTTTTTAAAAATATTTTTTGCAGAATTTCATTGGCGTGGATTTTTTTCAAGAAGAATTTATCAAAGCGTGGATTTTTTCAAAAGTATTTTTTACAAATGTTTTAAATTTAACGATTCTTAACAATATTTTGAAGTCTTGGATTTAAAAAAATATTTGGATTAAAAAAATATTTTTTATTCAGGCGTTAATAAAAAAAATAAAGGCGTGGTTAGGGTATATTTTTTATTAAGGCGTGAATTAAAAAAAAAAATATCACGGCGTGGGAAAAAAGTAACACGGCGTGGATTAAAAAAATATCAAGGAGTGGATCTTTTAAAGAATATTTTTTTCGAGGCGATGATTTTTTCAACAGACATTTTTTATAACGCCGCGGATTTTTTTAAAAAAAATATTTTGTGGTGGTTTTGATTTTTTTTTTTAAATATTTTTTGATAGACTTCGATCGATAATGTAACAGGATTTTTTTGGATTAAAAAAAAACATTTTTGAAAGTCTTGAATTAAAAAAAAGAATCTGGCTTAGATTTTTTAATTTTTTGATGGGCTTAATTTTTTTTAAACATAAATTTTAATGTTTAAATTTTTATAGAATGTGCGTCTGGCTATTTAAAAAAAAAAAAACATATTTTGGATGGGTTAATTTTTGAAAAATATATTTTTATAAACGCTATGGAGGGTCTTCTATAGGCTTAAATATTTTTGACAACCATTTTTTTTTTTTTTTTTGAGAGTGTGGATATTTTTTCAAAAATAAACTTTATTTTGGAATTAATAGATTAAAAAAAATGGAATGGGTGGATTTTTTCAAGAGTATTGTTTGAAGGCGTGCATTAAGAAAATTTTGTCCGTTGCTTATGTGTGCATTACGTTCAGCATTTTTTCGAAGGATTGTCAGGACTAGAGCTTGAATTTTATAAAGAAAACAAGTAAAAAAGTGTCAGTCGGTGTTGCGGACAGATATATACCCCCAGCCTATGGTTTGCGGATGTCTTCGAAATGACAGACAAATTTTATTATTAGCTTTATATAAGAAATTTGTTTTTATCAAAGAGGTTTCGGATTTAATGTTGGTAAATATTTATAAAGTATTGACCATTTGTGAGGGAGGTACCGGAAGGAGTGTACTACTGGGTCCCATCTTCGGACTTGATATAGGGTAGGAAAAGATAATAGGTTTTGCAAAGTTTGGTTGAAATATGACATTTCATTCGCCTGAAATGGGATTTACAAATTTTGACCATTTGTGGGGGAGGTACTAGAAGAAGTGGACCAATGGGCCCCACTTCTTCTATTGATCTTGATCTAGGCTTGGTAAAGATAATAGGTTGTACAAAGTTTCATCGGATAGTCCATTTGCATGTTAATTTAAATTTAATTTTTAGCCCAATTTTGACCATTTTGTGGAGGAGGTACCAGAAAGAGTGGACCAATGGGTCCAAACTTCAAACTTGATCTAGGCTTGGTAAAGGTAATAGGTTGTGCAAAGTTTAATTCAT